AGGCAATATTAAAAAAAAAAACCAACATTAATTCTCCTAAATACAGTAATCCATAACTTACCAAATTAACTCAGTAAAGTCTAAGCAAATGTGTCCTCAAAATACTTTGTACTTACATTTTATTTCATTTCTTCATTTGGTGCATGTCATTATAAAATTGAGAGAGATTTAAAAAGGCCATTTAAAAGAAATCCAAAACCTTGTATATGGATATCTAACACATTTATAAAGTTCTGATATTTAAAGTCCATATAAACTTGAAATTATTAGAGATTAGTCTTTATCATTGAGATAATAGCTTCCTACTTAGGATGTTATAGACAGTTTCAGCACATAAAAATACTAGATCATTAAGGAATCTGGAATACCAAAATGGTATAATTAAAGATGTATTCTACTAGACTGTAGAAAAAGAAATCGCTCTTGAAAAGATGCTCATTGCTGTTTTAAAGTGGTGTTCAGATGCTGAGAGAGAGTTTGAGGCTATGGGGAAAGGCCGTAGGTGATTGCTAAGGGTGATTGTAACAGGTCCAACCACCGCTACATGACATTGCTCACTGAAGCTGCTGGTTCACATCACAGAAACCTTCCCAGATGCTGTAATGGGAATGTGGCAGAAACCAGTGATGAAATGGCACAGCAACACATGCTCAGATGGTATCGTTATCTCAGGAATACCGTACAGCCAAGTCGTGCTGTACTCTGACCCATGGACAGATTTTGGCATTCATATCTTTCCAGATGAGTGCCATCCTGAGGTCCTGCATCTGCCCCTGTGTTGTCAGATTTCCAGAGTTTTGTGGCAATATCTCCTGATCGTGAGGTCGTGGCCATGAAGTGGTCTTTGGAAGTGGTCTTGTGCCCTTGAGCCAAGAAGGCCAACGCCATCCTGGGGTGGATGAGAAGGGGTGGTTGTAGGGCAGAGAGGTTCTCCTGCCCCTCTGCTCTGCCCTGCTCACACCACAGCTGCAATCTTGTGTCCAGTGCTGGGCCCTCAGCTCCACAAGGACAGGAACTGCTTGAAAGAGTCCAGCAGGGCCACCAAGATGCTGGAGGGAGTGGAGCATCTCCTGCTGAGGAGCGGCTGAGGGAGCTGGGGCTCTTGAGCTTGGAGCAGAGGAGCCTGAGGGGTGTCCTCATTCCTGGGGATCCATTGGGAAAGGGCAGTGTCAGGAGGAAGGAGCCAGGCTCTGCTCTGGGATGGCCAATGCCAGGACAAGGGGCAATGGTCCCAAGCTGCTGGAGCACAGGAGGTTCAAGCTGAAGATGAGGAGAAACTTTGTGAGTGTGAGGGTTATGGAGCATGGCCCAGGCTGCCCAGAGAGGTTGCGGAGTCTCCTTGTGTGGAGACACCCAAAGCCCTGGCCGTGTTCCTGTGTGACTGCTCTGGTGATCCTGCTGTGGCAGGGGTTGCACTGGGGGAGCTTTCCAGGTCCCTTCCAACTCCTCACATTCTGTGATTTTGTGAAAACATTTTGTGAAGTTTTTCCATATAAAATGACTTTGACAGCATAGAAAAAGTGGGGGATTTCTATTGCAAAAATAGCCCGTAAAGGGCAAGGGGTTGTGTGGTTCTACCTGTTGTCTGACAACCTCAGAAAAGGTTGCTTGAGGGCGACCATTTTCCAATATAACAGTCTAACAAATTTACATTTGTTTTTGTCCATTTGTAACCCTGATAGTGTTTTTTTTTCTAAGCACTGTAACCTAGTGGTAGTTTAGGGAATGAACGGTAGAGCACGCAGTGTCTTCACTTCAAACTGCAGCTTGCAGTAACTCAAGGAATCAAGACTCACTGAAGTAATTGGTCGATAAGATACTTCTGGGTGATAAAGATTTCTGAAGATCCTTCTTTAAGCCAATCTAGGACTCACAGCCATGCTGAGGAGTGCACATGAAAAATGGCTCTTATTGAATCTCCTCTAGGGAGCAGAACAATAATTTTCACTTGCTCTCATTCACCATCCATTTTGACCCTGCTTTTGTTTGATAGTTTATCTTTATTCAACCCAAGAACATGAAATGAACTTGTTGACACAAAGCCAATAATTTATTCATGTTCACTCCCAGTCTCCAGCCACAGCAGGACTTTTTTATGATCCTTGCTTCCCAGAAATGCCTTTGTAAAGTCTATTTAGTTCAGGCCTTCTGGTCAGCTATGATGAGTCCAATAACAAATCCTGGCAGAGTTTGCTTGGGCTGTTCAAGCTCTTTTTGAGAGCGCTTTCCTCTGATGGGCGTTATCTTGCTTCCCATTTTATCCCAGGATAGCAACACTTTTTAATGTTGATAAATGGACTCAGAAAGGAGAGAAACCTTTATCTTCGATCGTGTCTTTGACGTGTTATAGATACCACGCGCTACAATTAGATTTCCAGCTTTCCACCTATGAAAAATCACCCCGTCCTGTTTATTACATTGGATAAATGCGTTTGCCCTTTTTCTACATTTCTTGTCAGACCGTCTCGGGTTTACAAAGCTCCTCTGTGTATTTAGCAACCAGAGCTCGTGCTGTGAACTTCAGTCGCTGAGCAGAAAGTGGGCAGAGTTCCCAGTCACGGGGATTGCTGCAAGGAAGCTGCTGCATCTGAAAAATCTCCATAGGCGACGGGGCCAGCACCACTGTGGGTGCTGGGGTTCCTTCCCAAGCCCTTTTCTCCCTTTCACCATTGGTAATTCTCTACAAAGCTGTAAAAAACCTTTGTACCCCAGGAAATTGTTCATCTTATAGCTCCAGCTGAAGAGTTTTTAGGAAAAGAAAAGGTGTTTCTTCACCAAATTCAATATCTTTTAGGAGAGAGGGACAGTTTGGTCACCTGAATGTGGGTTTGGGATATTTGGGTGATTGCTGAACTCTGGTCCCTGTGCCAAGGCTTTTCCCCTGATCCCAAAGAGGTCATCTGGCTTTTTTGTCTCACCGGCTGCTCTGTATTTAGCGAACGGGCAGAACCTGGAGCTTTAGTTGTAATGTGTTTCATAGGCAATTATGGGAAAAACATTACAAATCTGTGATTTCCGTGGATTACTTTTGCTAACCTGGTTTCTGTAAGGCTGATGGGGAAGGCAGACAGCTGGACAAGGCCCTTCTATAGCATTTTATGAGCGGAAAAATAATCAGAAGTGTGTTCTGTAAACTTCAGGATTGTGCAAGAGTTGACGTCCAGAGAGGTAGGATTGCCCTGTAGAAGTCACAGTAAAAATTATATGTAAACTATACAAGACATCCAAACGTCTTGAATAGCAAGATAAGCCAAGTGCTTGCTCTGATCTGCTTCTGTGCTCTCATTTCTAAGTTTTAAACAAACAAAAAGTCCTACCCAGAAAGTGTTTGACATAGGAGGGATTCATAGTTGATATGCTGTATTAACATTAGTATCTACTTTGTAGAGCAATAAATGCTCAGCAAGTATCTGCTTAAATAATTTTTATATGAAAGCATTACTTTTAATAAAATTTTCCACTTTTAATAGAAATTTATCTGGATTCTTTTTTACCGTGTGCGGCAACATCGAATTATCGTACACCAAACCTCTGCTCTCCAGCGTGGTCCTTTATGTCTGTTGCTGAGCAAAAGAAAAAAGGACATGCAGATAAGTAGGCAGACAAAAGAAGAATGACAAATTCAGGGATGAAAAATTAATGTAAGCAGGAACAATTATGGCTACAAAATCATTATTTAATAAGCGCCTCACATCTGGCATTAAAGGGCTTTAAATAGTTGGGTTGTGGGGTGTTTTGGGGGATTCTTTTTTTGAGTAAAAAGTGGATACCGCTGGGAAAGGCACAGAATTTCACTGCGAGTGGAACCTTTGAGGAAGCTGCTATTTCGTGTTGTTTTACAGAGAGGAACGTCAGCCAAGTGCAAGGGTTTGCCTGACAAAATATATATATATAATAAGTGGGATTTTTGGGGGGATGGCAGGCCCTGCTTTGCAGGAAAAAGGGGGTTGGAGAAGGAGCCTTTGGCCTGACTGAAGCAATGCTTGGGTGCGTGTTTTGAACTGCAGCAAAAGCCATGATCTGCCCTATCACCACTCCCCTCCCTCGCGATGCAACACTGAATTGAAAGGCAATATTCATCAGGCCATAGATGAGGGGGATTAAGAACTTCAGCAGAAATGGGGCTCTGAGGCATTACAAAAAAGCCTTTTCTGTCTGGTAAAGTATCCCGAGCATTTTCCCTCTTACAGAGCAAGGCATAAGACGGTTCAATTATTCATATGGCAAAAATAATTTCCTCTCCAAGAGTCAGAGGAACTGGGTCGTTGTTGCTGTGCAGTTTTCCCATTAACTCATTTTAAAGCTTATCGTGCAGTTTTCAGTTTGCGTGGACGGACGAGAGCAGTCAAAGGATCAGTTATTGAAATGGTAATGTCAAAAGAGTTTGCTATTTCCTCAACCATTGAGCACCAGTTTGTTGATGAAATGGTGATTTATTTTCCTTGAACCCCAAGCCTCTTTTTACTTTTTTTTTAAATTTAGAATATCTTTGTTCCTTATCTTAACCTCTCCATTAAACTTGGGCCCTAGATGCATTTTTTTTGCTTAATATTAAGGGGTCATTTGTCTGCTGTTCTACCTCTTGAAGTTGTTTCTGTGGACTAAGCTCAAGATCTGTAATTACCTATTGAGAGTTACAGACCAGAGAGACCTGAGATAGGAGTTTGTTTCTTCCAAAATCTCTATGTTGTTGGAAAGTATCTGAGAAACAGTCAAAACCAATGAATATTCTTTGGCGATATGTCTAAATTTCTTGAATAAGGTCCTTTAAAACACCTTTGTTAGCCAGAATGACTTCCTATATTTTGCTGTAGTGACTATAAGGTTAATGCTAGAAAAAGAACTTTTGTTGAAGTCTCTTTTTACTCCATGTAAAGATTTTATTTGAAGCTGATGTGTGGTGAAGTGAAAGCACGGGAGTGTCTAAATCCTTAATTTTTAGCTGTTGTGCTATTTCCCTGATGTCCCTGATCACCCACAATACGTTTTCAATGTAACAGGGAGGAGCGTGCTTATGTTGAGAGATGCTGGAAAGACGTGCGAGTGGGGGATTTTGTGCAGCTGCGGTGCAACGAGACCATCCCAGCCGATATCCTGCTGCTCTACTCCTCCGATCAGAACGGGGTCTGTCACCTGGAAACCGCCAACCTCGACGGCGAGACCAACCTCAAACAACGAAAAGTGGTGGCGGGGTTCTCCAGCCAGGTGAGTCTGCTGGAAATGCAGCCCAAGCCACGCTGGGTTGGGTCGGGCCCATTTGCACACCAGTTTGAGCCGTGTAGGGCACCAGTTCTGATGGGTTGGTTACTGAATCATAGGAACACAGAAAGTGTTGGGTTGGAAGGGACCTTTACAGCTGATCCAGTCCAACCCTGCAGTCAGCAGGGACATTGGTACCAGATCAGGGTGCTCAGACCCCATCAAGCCTGGCCTTGAATATCTCCAGGGATGGGGCCTGCACCACCTCTGGGCAACCTGTGCAGTGATCGACCACCTCATGGGGAAGAGCTTTTTCCTAACATCCAACATAAATCTGCCCTTTTCCAGTATAAAACCATTACCCCTCATCCTATTGCTCCATGCCCCAGTGAACAGCTCTTCCCCAGATTTCTTATAGGCACCTTTCAGGTCCTGGAAGGTCACTGTAAGGTCCCCCCGGAGCCTTCTCTTCCCCAGGCTGAACAACCCCAACTCTCTCAGCCTATCTCCATAGCAGAGCTGCTCCAGCCCTTGGATCATCTTTGTGGCCTCCTCTGGACCCGCTCCAGCACTTCAATGTCCTTTTTGTTTTGGGGACTCCAAAGCTGGATGTGGGATCCAGGTGAGGTCTCACCAGAGCAGAGCAGAGGTGCAGAATCCCTTCCCTTGATCTGCTGGCCACACTTCTTGTGCTGCAGCCCAGGATGGGGTTGGGTGTGGGCTGCAGATGCACATTGGTGGCTCATCATGGCCCCGCTTCCAAAGTGGCCATGGGCTCCCTCATTAAATCCTTTATAGGAGTCTAATAAGCAGTTGAATAGGAACTCAAGGTAAAATAAAATGTGAAAACTTAAAAACACTTCTGTGATTGACATCAGTTTTATTGAGCAGAGATTCAGTTTGAATGTTTAAAATCACTTTTTATTCCATAGGGCATATCATTTCCTTTCTACCAACACTTCACTGGTATTTTCTCCTGACTCCTGTTTGATAAACGTGAAGAAAACAAGAAAACATGACATAGGGAGAGTTGTACTTGTTACATCTTTAAAGATCTTTTCAAACAGAGCAGGGCAGCTTTTCAAATAACACAGAACACGTTTAAGGCATTGTAGCATGTGGAGAGCAATGTTTTGTCCCATGGGAATCGCTCCAGCAGACACAAAGTCCAAAAACCTGGCAGGAAATTCGAGGAATTGCACCCAATTTTTCAGCCATTGGTAGCAGTGCCATTAGGAAGATCTTCTGGGGTTGGATGGGGCACAGCTGCCAGTGAGCAACCAGATTTCTAAATTAAAAAGCCCACCATTTTCATGGGCAGCTGTGGTCAGGTACCTACTCCAGTGCTACCCACTGCTTGTTCAAATGGAAATCACTTTGCAAGCACTTTTGAGGGCTTTCTCAGGTTGTGGATGCCATCATATAAAGCACGCTTTTTCCAGTACCTTCCAGTAATGATTAAAGATGGGCTTTTTCCTGAGAAACACTGAACACTTTTAATAGAGATTCAGCAAAAAAAACCCACCCCAAACTGGCTACTTAAATAGAAAAAATCATAATGCTGCATTTGTGTCACATAGTTTACACATTAAGTTTTGTATTTTAGCTTTTAGAGGAAAACAGAGCGCTCTGCTGTCATCCAGAAAGCCAACTTTTGCCTTGATAGCATGAGGAAGTCCTTCTTTAAATCAGAAAATCCCCGCATGCCGAGTTATGCTTCAGACTGCCTATTCAGAGTGATTTTCTTCAGCCGCTGAGTTGTTACTTAGATAAAGGATATGCCCGGAAGTGTTTCTATTACGAAATCTCGTTAATGTTGCAGAGTGAAATGCAGTTCTGATTGTGGCGAGAGCCAGTGCTCAGAAAGGTCAGAGCTTTACCAGTCGACTCTATTACCCTCTTAATTTTATTGCGTTGGTGTAAACAGCGCGTTGGCCAAAAAACCAAGTATCATACGTACGGTTTTAGTGTGCTGGCTTCTTCCGTGTTCTTTGAGCTTTGCTCCGTCCCGTGGTTTGTGTGCTGCATAAACCTTACTCACATTTAATTGTGTCCATAAAGTGTGACTCAAAGGAGGGAGGAGACGCGTACGAACTGAGGTTAGCTCTTTGGTTTAGGGTGTACTTAAGAATAGTGAATTCACCTACCCGGAAAAGGCTGAGAGGAAGGCTTTTTTTTTTTCCCTTTAATGCCACTTGCTAAAGTGAATTTTCAAATGTAAAATTCCTGTCATCAAAAGAAAAAAATTGTTGAGTGAAGAATCAGCCTTCTCCATCCCTTGTTAGCTTGGAGCCTCTTTGGTTTCTTCATTAGTAATGGGTCCTACAGGTGCCTTTTGCATCTTCCTGTTGTACAGATATTTCTAGCAGAGCCAAATGAACAAGATTCAGAGGAGGTGACCGATATCTCTTAAAAGAGATTCTTAAAATATTCAGCCGCGTGGCTCATCAAGCTTTCATATTTCCTCCAACTTATGTTTTTAAGATCAGATTCTCTACTTGCTTGCACTTCAATATTATCTCTATATTGTTTTTAAAAATATATATTTTTTAAAAAGAAAGAAGAAAGAAAAGATCAGGAGAGAGGAAATAACGTAAGAATTAAAACGCAGTGAATTAAAAGCTGAGATTTAAGGACAGTGAGGAATCCCTCTTGTGGTCTGGCAAAGTTTATGTGAATCCCAATGTGAATTCCCAGGATTTTTGGGAGTCCAATCCCCAGTCTGACCTCCAGAAGCCTCTGGTGCTGCAGAGAAAGGGAGGGAGACCCAGCAACAGAGCTGATTTCCAGCTTTCCCAATGAGAAGAGTTTGGCTTCGAGTGCGTTTCCGTTCTTTTAAACATTTTATTGCACAGCAATAATGATTCTCTTTCCCATTTCTCACATCCCACTTTTATTACAGTTTCACAATCTAAAATAAAAGTCTAGTGTGGTTTTTTTGGGTGAAGAACAAAACCACCATGCATGGCAGTCAAATACCTCTCATGTTGGCTGCTTTGTGCAGTCCAAAACCCAAACTGGGCTCCTTGATCCCAGGGGAAATGGGGCCAAATTGTGTTCTCAGCTCTGTTTGAGGGAGCCCTTTGCCTGAAAACTGCCTTGTTTTACCTGTCCCCTCTTTTGGTTCAGTTTGTTTGGGTTCATTGTTTGGTTTTTTGAGGTTTTTTTTTGCTATAAGTCTTGGTTTTGGTCTCATTTGAACAAGGTTCACCTACTCAAATGTATGGGTTCTTATTTTGTGACAATACCATCCTGGCCAG